ACGTGCCAAGTAAATGAGCTCTGTTCTATTGATTGTTTTTTGGTCGAACTGTTCAATTGATTACTTGAGTTAATAATAGCTTTCAATCTTATTTCTTCCAAATTTTTCAAACTTATGAATAATTTCTAATCATGTTGACATAAGCACATCGGCCCAATCTACAACCAATCTTTTTTTTTAGGTTGAAGATCCACAACGAATCCACAACCAATCTTCGGAGATATTGAAATGTCAAACCGTTAAAACGGTTGAAACTGTAATTAATTTAAGTTGGGCTCTTTTCGAGATGAGGTAAAATCTGTAGTTGAATTGCGGATCCTAAGATCTCAGCTAACAGCTGTAAAGTAAGACCAAGAAAAGGTCTTGCTCCAAATGAAAGATACTGGATCACATGGCAAACTTGATGAGGAAAACAAAATTGATGAGGAAAAACAGCAATGATGCGCGGTTTTCTAAGATTGATCTGCAAAATTTACTAAATAATGTATCAGGCTGTGAGTTAATCTTCAAAAAGTAAACATCACCTATTAAACTACTTTTATAGACCATTTAATCCAACAAACCATGCATTTTGCTGTAGTAATCGAATAGTACACACTACGTCATTTTGTAAAAATTGACCATCTTATGTCCTCTCTCTTAATGCCCTTTTCTGAGGGAGGTTTGAACATAATTGTAGCACCAGTCGCCTTTTCAGAACCTGGATATGAGGAACTTGATCCCTCCCTCACCTTTCTGACTGGACCGCGCATTTGTTGACGAGCGGTGCTGCGGCTTCAATCCCCCTTTCAAGTGCTAAATTCGAGTCTCCTCGCATACTTAACTCGGAAAAAAAAAATTTCTTTGGCAAGTAGATTTTGAAAGCAATAAAAGTAGAAAGAAGATTTTGACCAGGAAAAACAAAAGAACTTTGGGCAAATCTCATTAGGAGTGAGCGGTTGCAGGTTTCTTACGAGTTCAATCTGGAACCTGGAACCTATCTTGTCATAGGTTCTAGGATGGGTTTCAAGATCTAACCGGTTCTTAGGTTTCAAGGATTTAACAGGTTCTTTTTTTTTTTAATTTCATTTTTAGTTAAATAAAACAAAAGAACACAATAATACTAAATAAGCTTGTCGTTCACTAAAGAGAAGCATTGCTTGATGATAAGATGCTGAACCAACTTAATTTTATTTATTTACGGTAACTATTGGTCGTCAAAGAGGACAGGGCAAGCAGTTGTAGGCTACAAGGGCAGAGTATTTGGCACGCAACAGCTCTTTTGATGTGGTCTTTCAGCTTCTCTTTTAATGGGTCTACACTGTGTAATATTATTCGCTTTGGGCCTAAAGTGAACAATATTACACAGTGTAGACCCGGGGTGTTACAGATTGTATTAGAGCCGACTCTCGACCGTGTGTGGGGCCACAGCGAGGGCGCTATGCTCGTAAGGGGTGGAGAGTGTGATGACCCAGGCGGCAGTGTGCGGAAAGGAGGGAAGGCAGTACGTCCACGCCTCGGTCCTCGGACGTGCACAGGGAAGGGGGGAGCCTTCTTTGTCCCACATCGTCTAGGGGGAAACCTAGACTAGCTTATAAGTTTTGGGGTTCTACATCTGTGTAACGCGTTTTAAAGCCGTGAGGATCAGTGGGTCCAAAGCGGACAATATTAAACAGTATAGACCAGGGTGTTACACGAGAAAAACTATACTATGACTGTGACAGACGAGGTTCAGTCGATAGAACACCTTTTGATGTGGCTAATAATTCACCAAGTCAAGTCACTTGGCAATGGAGGAACCGCTCGACTGCATCTTCAAAGGTTCATTTAATTCCTAGCATTTCAGTGATAGTGCTTCGCGTATGATGATACAATGAAACGAAGCAATAATTGATGTTTTTCCTTCTTTTTAGAAAAATGCTTGAACGAAAATTGTTACTGTAGTTGCTCATGGTGATCTTAACAGGATTGTAAAAGTGTTTTCATTTCGATTGTGCACTTGAACTGGAGTAGTGGTGCTTACAGGGCAGCTCTGCTTGAACTATCTGTGCTAATTTACCCACCTGTTTCCTTAACGAAATCGAAGTTAAGTTTAAGTTTTCGATTCAAACAATTTTACATCAGCCTTAGACAGCTTCAAACCAAAGCCACTTGATCATGTAGCTGTTTAAGTGGCAAATCCCACAAAATGAATTTAACCCCTGCAACTGGCGTTCAAAGTTGACTTAACCTTCCAGTGCGCAAATAGTTTATGAGGGGTCGAAGCCACTTCCGATCAAATTTTGTTGATCATCTGTTTCTGTCAATGCAATAACGCAAGTTTCAGGTTCAGCAAAGCTAGATTTGATACTGGTTCCAAGAAAAAGGGTAACTCTTGAATCCTTCAATTTAAGGATACTAGCTGACATTATAGCCTTCCATCTTCATGCGAAACTCGTCCGAAATGAATTGTTCAGTCGTTGAAGCTTTTGGCCACTTTCTGCTTTCTTTCCTCTTGTTGGATAACCGAGAATTATTTTATGGCTGCGAGGCAGCAATATAGTTCCCATAGACATAGACAACTCTTATGATCAAATCTGGAGAAGGTAAATCGCATCTGTAAATCATACTGAAGCTGGAAATACTTTTGCTGTGCCAATACTAACGATTCTTATTTGGGAACTTTAGTCTAGCTTTAATAATGACGTCTTTCGTCTGAAATGCCATAACATAAAAATCTTCATAACGCAACTGTGATGAGACCTGAAGATGATTACTTGTTAGTTCTCCTTCATAATACCAACAGTTCCGGCTATTCCAAGCCCCTGCTTTACAGCCTAAAATCCTTGTAAAAGTGGAGCAGTTCATTCAACCTTTTGCATAGAGCAGACTAAAGCCATTCTTGAATCGAATAAACACTGATGCCTTGGAAAATAACAACAAAATCATCTGCCAACAAAGGAAAATAAAAATTAAGAAAGATAGCCAACATCTTCCTTCGACCACTGTATTAGTGACAGTGTTAACAGACCAGATGCTTGCTTGCTGCGATGGAATAGAACGATTTGGCATTTCAGTTTGGAAAGTGAATATAGGCTGTCTCGGCTGAGGAGGATCTGATTCACCACTTAGCATCAGAACCACATTGGTCATGTTTGGTCTATCCATGGCATGGTCCTGAACACAGAGAAGCCCGACGTGGATGCATCTTGTTACCTCCAGTGGAAAGCTAACAGCAATTGCTTCATCCATTAGGTCCAATGCTTTGCCTTCACTCCATAATTGCCATGCCTACAAGAGAACACTGTCATAATATTGCAGGGAACTTACAATATCGATTAAGGTTGGAATTTGGCAATTACGTAGGAAAGGAGATTGAGATATCCCTGGTCATACAGGGCCGTGTTCTTTCTGCCACTAATGATCTCCAGTAGCAACACTCCAAAGCTATAGACATCGGACCTCTCGGAAAATATCCCGCCCATGGCGTACTCAGGAGACATATAGCCGCTGCATTGAGTTGAACATATTTTGTACTCTTTAATTGTATTGAAGGACAATGGGATGAAACATATATAAAGTGACAGAGTCATTGTGGTAAATCAATCATTTCTGTCTACTTCAAAAGATTGACTCAAAGGATTGATAATTCAAGTAGGACTAGAGAACTTACAGTGTTCCAACAATTTTGTGAGTGTTCACCAAAACTTGAGTGCCCTCGAACATCCGTGCCAGCCCAAAATCCGAAATTTTTGGGTTCATCTTTTCATCCAAGAGAATATTGCTCACTTTTAAGTCACGGTGTATGACCCTAAGGCAAGAATCTCGATGGAGGTAGAGAAGTCCCCTTGCAATTCCCTCAATAATTTGGAATCGTTTGCCCCAGTCGAGTTCTGCCTTCTTTCTTGAATCTAACAAACATGACAAACAAGAACAGTTTTCAAGTTTTAGTGCTGTTTCGAAAATTACATTACCAAAAAATAGTTATTCGGAGAGAAAAAGCCAACCAAAAAGAAAGGTGTCCAAGCTTTTGTTTGGCAAGTACTCGTATACCAAAATCTTTTCATCTCGTTCAGTGCAGCAACCAATGAGTTTAACAAGATTTCGATGTTGGAGTTTCGATATTAGGACGATCTCATTCTTGAACTCTTGAACACCTTGGGCCGAGCTACTAGAAAGTCTTTTCACAGCTACCTCTTTCCCATCATCCATCTTTCCCTGTTTCGCAATTCACATAGCTTTTAGACCTTGAATTATCTCTATATTTTCATTTAACAAATGTCCTGCAGAATGGTTTTACCTTATAAACAGTGCCAAACCCTCCTTGCCCGAGTTTACTTGTCGTGCTGAACTTGTTTGTAGCAAGTAGTATGCTATCAAAACTGAAAAGGGTCAATTCCAGTGCATCATTTTGCTTCAACTGCTCTTTCCATGCATTTCCTTGTAGCAGTTCACCTGGCTTTTCAGGTTTATCTACCGAGTCGAGGGGCCTTGAAGTTTTTCTGAAGTTTCCTGTGTTTATTATTGGTGAAGAATCAGCTAACTATCTTCATAGCGATCGAAGATTAAAAAAAATAGAAGCACGATCCTCTGAAAACACTGATGTGGCTCTTGAATAGTACCTCTTGTCTTAGCTCTCCATTTGCAAAGACCAAAAACAAGTACTGCAAAGAACATCATCCCGGCAACAGTACTCAGGCTGATGATAACTACTGCTTTCTGTGGCGATCCTCCTGAAATGGGAAAGAGAGTTACATAAAAGACGATTGATGTTGACTCAAACGCATCTCAATGAAACCATTTCTAACCTTTTTTTACATGTGCAACTCGAACAAATAGATCTTCTCCAGCTGTGGAAAGTTCCTCAAGATCGATTAAGTCTTCTTTAGTCCAAACCATACACCCGATGGTGCTGACATAAGAATAAGCCAAGCAAGAACAGTTGCTCAGGCACCAGCTTAAACATCCTTCTTGATCTCCAATGTCTGATAAATAGTCCTCAGAGTCAGGTAGTTTCATCCGGCTCATTTGCCAAAAGGCATCTTTCTTTACGGTTGTTGAAGCCAATGTGCTTGTGTCTTTCTGGCAATTCAATGGTGTCTCTCTTACACATCCTTTGGTCCAGTTTCCACTGTTCCATTCTTCATTTGACTTTGGCACAAACCCATTTAAGCATCTGCAAATAGGCAAATTCGTTGAGTTACAAACTCCGAAAGGACCACAAGTTCCATAAATCTCGCAAGTATTGTTCGGTCCTGCCCAATCTGTCAACCACACCTTAGCTCCATCATCCCACTTCATTATCTTCAGAGATCCTCCAGGCGAAACAAACATGTATACAAAGAATGGGCTCTTGTAAAAATCGATAGAAAGGTAAGTGGTCCCCTGCTGAATATCTTGCTGGACATTGATCGCACTCGAGTACGATTGGTCCATGTTTTGTATGCCGATAAATTTCGATTTGTCCCATTGCCCGCCTCTCCAGTAAGGGGTTGAACCATTCCAAGTGAAAGGTTGAGGCGGCGTCTCCGATGTCATCCCAGTCAAGAAACTTCCAGGGGACGGATCACTGTCGCTTCTCCAGGAAATTAAATAGTGTTTCTCCCCAGTCCTGGCATTTACTCCCATCTTCATGCCCGGAAGAAGAGTGTCTGTCGGATCATCGAAGCTTCCCCATATTTCACTATAATTCGCATCTTGCAGTACAAAATTACCACTATCCAATAGCGCCGCTGATGTATAATCAGACCGACCAGAGGCATTGGTAGACCAAACTATATTTTCTTGTCCATCCACGAGCTTCAAATTCCCATCGCTGCCTATCGTTAATTTCGCAGACCGATCCGTGTCCACGAGCGGCAAATCCCTATTGGCCACCCACACGACTTTAGAAGGCGTGAAGTTCTTGTACCATATCCCAACATACTGATTTTCTGAGCCATCCGGCGTAAAGAACCCAAGCTCGAATATGTGGCCAGAGGAGACAAGAGTTTGGTACGGGAAGAGTGGCTCCGATGTCGTGATATTGTAAACCACGCCGCTGGCTATTTGACTTGCCTGAAGTAGGAAGAAGAAGACCAAGCAAGAGCACCAACGAATCATAAGTGGCATAATAAGATGACTGAACGACCCTAGCGAGTTCTGTGGGTCGGTTGATTCTGCAGTTCCTGGCCGGAACAAGAATTGATGAAGAAGATTTTCTGAGAGTCAACCCTTGGTGCTCTAGGTAGGACGTCTTTTAAATCCTTTTTCTGTGTTTGTTTAAAGTTCATTTCGTGCACAGACTAAGCACGATCCTGGGCGCCGATAATGCCTGTCTCATATTACAACTGCATGCCCAAAATGACCCAGAAGATCAAGATTGACATCACAATCATTTGAGTCAAAAGGGCGGCTAAAAAATCAATCTTTTCAGAAGCATTTCTTCATTGACTAATTCAACGAGGGATGGTTCCTCGCCACTCTTCAAATTTGACTTGGCCTCTACAGTTGAATCTTCTTCCTCCACAAAAAGAGCTGCATTACGCGTGAAGACCATGTAAGAAGAGAGGAACTTGGAATTCAAAGTTCAAGAAATTTGCTACAAAAAAAGGAAACCAACAGCTTCCAAGCTTTCGCTGATGCAACCATTAGCACAAAGATGATTCGTTAATTTTCCGTCATTTTAGAAAGAAGTCTCATTGACATCAGAAATAAAGAGGCATAGATGCGAGGCAAAAATTATGCTTGGACGATAGTCAACGGTGAGTGAAGGAGCGCGAGATTACGAAGCCGCCGATGGCGATGGAGGATACATGCGATTCGTAGATGTCGTGTAGAGGAAGGACTTCAAAATCGAGCTAATTTGGTAGGATTACTACTATTAAGTTGGAGAGAGAAAGTAAGAGAGAAGAGGTAAGTTGAGTTGATAATTGACTAAACTTTTAGGATCCTTTTGTTTTATGTAAAATGAATGATTTGGAAAATATTTTTTAAAATTTGATCATTTGTATTGCTTATAAAAATGTATAAACGACAAATATTTTCATCGTCCACGAAAATGTTTAGACTTATGAGTAACGAAAATATTTTTATTGACTAATTATTTTAAGAAATGCAAGCAATCATTTTGAGGAAAATATTTTCCAAAACGCAAACACCTCGCAAAACAAACAAACCCATAAATTAAAGGGGTTTATAAGTCAATTAAGGCCTAATTCCAAAAAAAACCCCAAACTTTACACTTTGTCCCAATTATACCCTGAACTTTTTTTTGTCTCAAGAAAAACCTCAAACTTTTCTCCGAGTCCCAAATCTACCCTACCGTTTATAACTCCAGTCCAATTAACGTCGAGAAAAAAAAAAAAAAAAGAATCGGCCGCGGCGTGGCCAAGCCTTCGCAGGGATGCGTGCCGCCGAGAAGGAGCTGGCGCCTGCGCCAGGACTTCCGAAGGCGGCAACCCTCGCCGGCCCGGGCGAGTCGCCGCGAGGGCTCGCGGCCCGATCCGGGGAGGGCGCGACCCTCGCCCCGGATCGGGCCGCGAGCCTCGCCGGCGACTCCGCCCCGGCGAGGGTCGCCGCCGGAAGGCCCAGTAAGTGGCCGCCGACCTCCCGTGCGAGGCCTCGCCTCGGGATCGCCCACCATGGGCGAGGCCTCGCCCGGGCCCAGGCGGCCCCGGGCGAGGCCTCGCACGGGTCCGTGGCGCCGGCTCGCCTTCCTGAGCCGCTGGCGATTGCCGCCGGCCTCGGGCGGAGTCAAGCCGGCGAGGGCTGCAGTGCCCCGATCCGGGGGGGAGGTCGCGCCCTCACCCAGACGGGCCGCAGCCTCGCCGGCGATTTCTTGTCCGGGCCGGGCGACGGCCGCCGATCTTCGGAAGACCCAGCTGGGTGGTCGCCGCTCTCTTCCCGGCGGCCGTGGCGGCGGCCACCGGCGAAGGCTTGGCCGCCGCACCGGTTCCGGGTTCCGTTTTTTTTTTTTTCCGACGTTAATGGACGGAGTTATAACGGTAGGGTAGATTTGGGACTCGGAGAAAAGTTTGAGGTTTTTCTTGAGACAAAAAAAGTTCAGGGTATAATTGGGATAAAGTGTAAAGTTTGGGGTTTTTTTTTGGAATTAGGCCGTCAATTAATAATAACATGGGTGTTTTGGTCAACGAAGCGGTGGAAGTAACCCCACCCTTGAACAAATTCCAATATTATTTAGGGATAAGTGCACCAAAAGTCTTAAAACTTGTCAAGAAAGTGTAATTGAGCCTTAAAACTTTTAAAAACTGCAACAAATTGGTTTAATCAAATTCTTCCGTTAACTCCGTTTAACTAGGCTTAGGGAAAACGCTAATGCGTCTTCTTTTATTACTTTCATAAGACATGTGGTGACGATGTGGCATCCACCAAGCGCTACGTCAGAAAGATATTCAAAAATTAAGAAGAAATACAAACTAAATTAAATTAAAAATATGAAAAGTTAAAAGTTAAAAAAAGAACAAAAAACACAAACTACAGAAAAAGCAAACTAAATCAGAGCCCTTGCCATTGGCCCCCGCTGCCACCCATCACCGAAAAGGGTTGACCGAGGTTGCTTGGGCCTCATTGATGGCCGGCAAGGGTTGCCGACCCTGTGCAAGGCCCCGTTGGCCCTCGGCGAAGGCTTGCTAGCCCAAATATGGGGGAGGGTGCGACCCTCGGCTTAGATCTGAGCGAGGGTCGCGGCCTCCCCCATATTTGGGGCAACAGGCCCTTGATAAGGGCCAGTGAGGGTCACCGAGCTTCAACGAGGCCTAGGTGACCTCCGCCAGCCCTTTCTAGCCATGGGCGGCGGCGGCCACTAGTGAGAGCTTGTTTCTCCTTTTTTTTATTACTTGGTTTTAAAAAAATAATTTATCCTTTTTAATTTATTTAATCAAACATAAGTAAAATTTGATAAGAAATTAATGAAAAGTGGAATATAGGAGAGAAATAGCATTTTCAGTTTGCCTAGTTGGAGGAGTTAAGAGAATGACTTGATTGAACCAATTTGGCAATTTTTAGGACTTGATTGTAATTTTCGAATGTTTGAGGACTCGATTGCACCCTCGTGATAAATTTTGGGAATTCCAATGCATTTATCCCTATTATCTAAAAAAACTTGTCATGATTTTGTTTGCGGGACTTCTAACTCCACCCGGATCAAATTCATATCCCGTTAAAATCGAGGTGCGTGGATTTTATTACTTTAGGTGACATTTATATATTTATTAATGACTTTATGCTAATTCCTTGATCACTTGTCGAAGTTTTGAAATTTGATAATAAATAAACAATTTCTTTTTTTAAAAAAAAATCAGGCTTTAACCCTGGGTATCCGGAACCGAACTGATTCAAACAACTTCTAGTGATTTAGGGCTTGGCCACTGATCGAGCCCTAACAATTTAGGCTCGACCTGTTTAGGCCCAGTCAAAAATCAGCGCGAGTTGTTCGACAACGAAGGATCTGGCGTCGACCAGGGTGTCTCCTCGGTAACGCTGGCTCCATTACCCGTACGTAACCCGTCATGGCTTCAACGCGCAGAGGATGACCCCGATGAATAACAGACCAAGATTCGAGACTTGACTGTGCAGAGCGAGCTCGAAAGATCGCGCGGCTGCGAAAGTGTCGAGGGCGAGATGGATCACACGGCCACGAGGGTGAGATTGTTTGAAGGTGGAAGAAGAAGAAAAGAAAGTGCGAGGAGAGAAAGTAACGGGAGAATAAAAGAAAAGGAGGAGAAATTTGAAGTTTCTGAAGAGTGGGGCTCGGTGGGTGCAAGTGTCCATGTATAAAAAATAATCACAATCATTAATGGTGTGGCACATAAGTGAGTCCACATGATCAACGACTATAAGATCAACGAATCCATTGGCCGGCTCCGCAAATCCTTCGTAGAGTATGTCGTCTGAGTTCTTGTCAAAGCTAGTTATGTTGAAGCGAAGGGGACTGACAAAGGGGACAACAGGACAGCAGACAAAGGAGAAGAAAATTAAACGAGTGCGAAAAGAAAGAGAACAAGAGGTCGCACGCGGCACGCTGAACATGGTTTTGATTGAAATTGCATTTATACAAGTATGAGAACGAGGTTCGCACTCGTTTCTCAACTGGTTGAGATCGGCACCATTCGGGGGTTGCTTTATATAATAACCAAATGTTCCTAGCAGCCGCTTCGACAAGTGAATAGGTCGACAGCTTCTTCGCTGTTTCCGCTAAAGATTCGATATGGACAAGGAACCTTCTTCATTATCTAGCAAACAAGAAGATGATTATAGCAACGTGGTCAATTGGAGTGATCTTTTCATAACTGTATTCTGCTTAGGGCCGTCCTATGAATGTGACTCCTGCTATTTGTCCCTTGGGGAAAATTACAGGACCGTCGAGACAAAAGCCTGAGTCGAACGAGTTGGCAAATCATGGAGCGGCGACGCAGACCGCGGAGATGCACAGTCCTTTGCGACAGCACCGTGGAGAGAAAACCAACGTGCAGCACTTAAAACAAACAGAATCGGCAACCTGAAAGATAACATAACTTGCTTTGAAATCCTACAGAAAACAAGTTCAAGTATTATTTACGATAAGAGTTTAGGAGAAAGAAAAGAGTGTTCGGTTGGAGGATAATCTTGATTTATTAAGTTACAAGGACCTAATAATTCTACTACATGTAGTTTAAAATAGAATAAACTCTCGCAGAACTATCATGTACATGTTATTTCGTGACAATTTCATTTTATATATCTTAATACACATTGAAGTTATACTAACATTCACATATTATTCATATTAAAAAAATTTCAAACGTAGAATTCTTCGTCATCAAACGTACTTTGACCGGCACACGCGAGCACTTTCTAGACCGATTGTATTTGACAGTCAAAGTCAAAATTGTAAATGCATGTGGCGATTGTCCATCGCAATCTTAAACATATAGCATGTGGTCGTGCTACGGAGACTCGCACACCTATTGGTGAACTCGGTAGGTATGACTCAATTAAAATATTTTGTAACGGGCGACCAATCGCTTATTGTAATCTCCTAAAGGGTTACATTAGTCCCCCCAACTCACCATTTTATTTTATGAATTTTTTTTAATCAAACACTTAATGTTGCTGAATCTAGATGGGCCAGCCGGTTCAACTAGTTTGAAATCAGAAAAAA